TCACAGTTAAAATTACACGGTTGTTTAAGCGACACATGGCATCTGGCTAGTGCCAGGGGTTGCCAAGCGTGGCAGGCAGGGATGCTGCCCCAACAGCTGAATATGTCCTCCAGCACCTGCGTGCAGGGCACTCACAACCTGATCCTGTCTCTTCTCTTGGCAGTACTCAAGCAAATCATACGCGAGAATGGCAGGCAGACACAGTTAATGTAAAACCCTAGCAGGCCTGGGGTGTGATTTTCAGCCTACCTTCAGTGGAAGAGAATCATTACAGCACCCTCAATAATCTCTGGCCAGGTTACACAGCCCTGACCATCAGCCAGGACCCTTCAGGGCTGCTTTATTTTATACCTAAGCCTGCAAGAAGGATGTTTGCTGCTGCTGACAAGAGCCAACGACAAAAGATCTCTGTTCTGCCACTGTCTGGAGAGGAGAAGACTTGAGCTGGTGCATTAACGGAGCCCGGAGGCAGGGGGGTATTCCTCATTGGGCAGTTTTCCCAGTTTTCACAGGTCCTGGATGCCTCTAATGTGCCTGACATCTGGATTCAGTTTCTTCAAAGAAAGAACCTGTGACATTTTAATCCCTTTGGCGGCTTGAAGTCTCGGGGAAAACGAAAGCATCCATTACATTCATAGCATATTCATTTTCATTGTTGTGTGTGTATGTTTTGAAATCCTATTTACTAGGAACAGAAATCCACCTAAAAACTCACTTTACAGCTATTCTTAATGTGCCATATATAGCATAACATGCAGAACACTCGAGGACTGGAATAAATAAGATCTCCACAGGCAATCATCTTCTCCCATACATGTTCAGGCACCCAGGGCAGTCAGACCCCCTCTGCCGTACACAACGTTGTTTACTGACCATGAGCTGTGTTTAACATTCCACTCCCAGATATTTATATTCAGAGCCAAATTCAGAGCAGTATTCTGGAAAATGAGCAAAAGTAGGCTATGACCCATCAAGAGACTATTGGGTCATCTGGAAAGTTTATGAGCCGGTCTGGAATCCAGCATTTATTTTGGATGGTGGGAGGCTACTATAATTAGCTACCATTCAACTGCATTATACAGTTACAAATAAAAAAAAAACCAACCCCAAAACACAAGCCACAGCGCAGATGCATTTTTACTGAAATACAACCTATGTCATTCTGCAGACCTCTGTAGAAAACGAGTTACCTCAACCATCCCTAAAGTGAACATTTGCGCGCTCAGGCCAGAAAAGCAATTTCCTTCTTATGAATATGAATGCAACACCAGAAAACGCGGACCATCCAATCTCGTGATATTATTAAACACAACATCTACCCTAACAACGGAGTAATGGAGCGAGAAGCCACAGTTGACTTCAGTTCCCAACCTGCTCACGTGCCAAACGTTGTTTTTCAGAGCTGCGCGGTGTAGCCAATGCCAGAGATCTTCGTTTTGATCAAAGTCTGTTTTCAAATACAAATTTGTAACTTATGCATGGGCATGTTCTTGCATGAATCAGACACGCCAATAAAATTCCCATAAAAGTCCTCTAGAGCGGTTGTATCTCTGGGAGGGGGAAGGGAGGAGGGGAGGACTGTTTTTGTTGTTTCTTTGAAGCTTGTATGTATATATTCTAAAGGAAGGAGCTACCGCTGCAGTTTCTTGCATTATTTAGTGATGATCTTGAGGCTGTGTTATCCCTGCCTGAAACCAAGCTGCTTGTGGGGACTCTGACCATGGAGAGACACTCACTGGTGGTTTCAAGTGATCCGGACCAGCAAGAATGCAGACACACAAGGATTCTCGCTCCCCCTTCTCTTTTTTTCCAAGTAATTTTTTACATGAAATTAAAAAAAAAATAAATATCGGTGTTTATCTGCCTTCCCTGGAGAGATTTTCACTGTCAGCTTTATCGTCACAGTCTCTCTCCGCTGCCAACACTGGTACAACTCTAGGGCTTGTTTGGGCTGAACTCCTATCCAGGCTGAGTAATATTCACAGAATTGGTCCCAAAAAGGTGAGTAAGGCTTTGAGAAGGACACAGCGTGGTGGTTCCTGAAAAGGGTCCTCACTAAGACTTCACTTCCTCTCTGAAATCCCTCTCCCTAAAGCCTTACAAGGACATCCCATAACCAACAGAAAACGCCATCCAGATGAGACGTGATTCTTGCACATTACTCAGCCTGGCTTCATTTTGCCTCTGGTAAAATACACCGTCGCATCCGTCTGTTCCCTGTCGTATACTGAAAAGTATTTACCTAGTTGCTAACAAACATCAAGATGCACACACCTTCAAAAAACACAGTGCTGCTTCCTCCCATGAATCATTCAACACCTTACATAACCGCGGGGGTAATATGGAACCGTTTCATATGTGATCACTTAACAAAAAGTTGGTCATAAACCTACCCGAAATGCAAAAATAACTCTTGGTTTTAAAGCATAAAGATCTGCTTTCTAAAGAAATTCCTGTCCTCAGTCTTGTTTCTGTCCCTGCAGCGCAGTTCACTCTCCCTTCTGTCTTATCCAGACAATTACCAACAGCTCACGTTGTAGTACGGCTCCAGACATGATTTCGGCAGAAGATACCTTCTTTCTCCCAAAAGGAGAGCGTTTTGGTACGAAAGAAGGGGTGGCTCAGCGCTGAAGGAAGCAGATGCTGTAACTATGGTCTCAGGTTGTAACTTCCCACTCATATTTTGGTAATGTTTGGAGGGTTGTAGGCTGTATGTCAAATTAGAAGCTTAACAGACCTAACAGCTCTGGTTCACTTTTGAGTAAGACGCTGGGAGGCGAGGAGGAGGTTAACAAGCCAAAATAAACAAGAATAGCTGGGGCATTGCAATCCCCTGCCATTTTGCAGACCATCTTCCTCGTATATGGAACGATGATCTAGAATATGTGAGGTTTAAACATCATTAAAGGACTGCTCAACCTTTTCAGAGAGACAGGTACACATCCAAATTAAATAATCCCTTCCCCCTACCGTTATTTTAAAAAAATACATTTGGTAGGGTGCCGAGTCTGCGATACTAGGATGCAACTCCCTGCTCCGAAGCAGCCCTTGATGGGATCACCATCTACATGGCCCTTCTGTCGGCACAATTACGTCTAGTAGGAGCACGAATGCAGTATGCTGGCAAAACTCTTCCGTTACTACAAGTATGGTGACAAAATGGCAGCTTGTCAGCTGAGCTATATTTGCTGGGGGAGATCGTGGAGCTGAAACAACAGTTATGCTGTGGAGTTAGACACTTCATAGAGAGAAATTCTGAAAACCCAGTTCCCATCTGTAAGATGGGTCTAAACAATATATGGTCTGACCTACATCTAACATTCTTAAATTACCTTGATCTTCTCTTGTGACCTTATTTCGTCAAGGAAATAGATACATCTGCGTCTGATGGAGCCAAGTTTTAGGCTATGGGTTCGCCCTCATCAAATCTAGACAGAGCAAAGTATAATCTATACTACGGCGTAAGTGCTCAATGAGACTCAGAAGTCCTGGTGATGTGTTTTGACAATCTGACTATAAATAGTTGACTGTGGTGCTTTTGAAACTTTTAATAACCTTGACAGTTGGTATCAAAAAGCCTGAAAATTACAATCCAATCGGTACCGTTAATGTATTTTAACGAGAATACCGGAGTGTGCATGGGTGTGCTTCAAACTCTCAAATGTCCGGGAAAGCCTGACCCTTTCAAAAGAACAAGTTAAAAAAGTCAAGTTAAACAAGAGCTGCAGTCTGAACTTTGACTATTCTCTAGGGATTTCCCTTTTTCCTTGGAAGATTTCTGTTAAAACCCTTAAAAGGCAAGTACACAAATTACTGTTGATATTTTAGTTTCACCTTGAAGCGATTGCTTTGTGGGAGAAACCCTAACTCATGCAATTTTGTCCAACACATAAAAAGGTAGTCCAATTAAAAAGAAAAAAAAAAAAAAAGAAAAGAAAAAGAAAATCCTCTTCCCTGAGGGCAGATTTCCTGGCCCTAACACACCCATCTGCATCAGAAAACCAGAAAGACCTCAGAAACAAAACAAGCCCCAAACACAGTCAGTTCAGAGGCATCAGCACTGCTGTGTCACAGCCCTCTGCAGATAAACTTTTTTTGCTCTTTTCCCTCCCCTACTGGGAAATTACAGAGGTGGTCTTATCTGGAACAGGAGATCGAGTCTAGAGAGGTCAAAGCCCAGAGTCAGCCTGTTGGACAGGACAATCGGTCATGGAAAGCATCCAGCAGCAGCCAGGTTAAGTGAGGCTAATAAATAATGCACAAATGCAAAGTAAGTGACACCACCAGAGGATGCACCGGTCATTAGGTCAAACAGGAAATTCCCCACTAACAAATTACTTTTAATCCCAGCCTAATAAACTCTAAAACCCACTTAGTTAACTCTCAACGCAATAGCTACCTTCCTAGGAAAAACCCTGTTTCTCTTCCTTCCCCTCTTCAGGGAGGTGTCTGACAGTGAGATCTTGAGGGCAAGTGGACAGCGGGAAGCAGTTTCTCTTTCAGAAAACCAAGCTTGGACGGTCCTTGGAAAAAGATGCAACTCTGCACCTCCCCACCCTCATTTTTGTCAGTCGATTTAATCCATAGCTTTAAGAACAATTTACCACCCAGCCAGCCCAGCTTGTTTGCAATACAATGAAGTGCACTGAAGTCAAACAAAAGCAACATTTGAAGGACTTTGCACAGTTTTGCTTCCTGGCACTTGAAAATGCTTATGTTCTTGCTAAGTACGGGTTACGCGCATTTACTTCACACAACATTAAAACCGTGGCACATTTAGGACTCAGATGATTAAAACAGGAGATCACAGTGTTGTGGACATCCCTAGCAGGACTCAGCCCACCCCAGAGGTGTACGCAAGAGCAAACACAGCTGTACACGTCTCTAAACTCTTGATGGTGAAACGCAAACACAGAAAGTACGGCATTCCCCAGTAGAAGCCACTATAGTCGACAGAGTAGATGATTACACAATATTGTAGAGGAGAGTGTTTTGATTACCTTGAAGTCAAGGCTGCAAAGACTGACTACATCATCGTCTTTCTCTCGGCGCTTCCTCTTCTGTAAGAAATGAAACAGAGTTAGAGCTGTACACCCGATTTGTGTTCAGAAAGAAGGCTCTGTTTTTCCTAAAGCAGACTAGAGACATTTTCTTTCTTTACACCCCCAACTAACTGTAATAACTCAAAAACCTAAAGGTTGAAAACAAATGCAAAGCATGTTTATGCTGTTTCATGAGGTCTGTCACCTGATCGATACCTATAAATTATATGCTTATAAGCTTGTTTCTCTGTACTACCATAATTGTGGGCGTGAGTAAAGTCTTCAGTAGGAAATCTCAGCAGCAGGACAGAATGCAGCGGTCACCACTGTGAAATGATTTCAGATTCATTTCGTTAAATGAAACATTTTTTTGTGGTTTCTGAGGTCAGCAATCCTGCCACAAAGTTGGGCTTTTTGAAAGAGTTAGGTGCTAAGAACGTCAGACCTGGTGATCATTAGGATCTGAGGTCTTCAGGGGACACCAGAAGATACCATGCCTAATTCTTATAATGTTTGCTCACCAGCACGGCTGGGCTCGGGCAGGGGTTTGTGAGTGAGGGGATCTACAGATTTCACCCCGGGGACATTGCCAGCCTAAAGCAGTTTTGCACTAGGTTGGTTGCTCCTGCTCCTCAGCTACCCTCTCATACCCAAATACGTTTTATTCAGGGGATTCTCACTGTGTATCAGGGATTTGTTTTATACTGCGGTTCCCTGAAGAGCTGAATGCATGTGTGAGGGCATTTCAATCACCTATGGAAGTCATTACTTTGGACATGGCCCGTAGAGAGCTGTGGCTTAAGCATCCCTGCTAGGAATGCAACGGGCTAAAAGAATAAGCGTTTTTGTGGAAGAAAGATGAGGCTTTTGGCCAGGGAGCTCCCAGCTATTTTCCTTTCCGAAGAAGAGCACAAGCCAGTGGAACAATGATCAAAGACATCTGCACTGAGCTTCCTGATACCTCCCACTATTTCTGTACTATCTGGGCTTCTACATTGTTTTTTTTCATTACCCAGATAATGGAAAACTAATTGTGGACTCATCCTGTTAGACTGTGCCAGCCTGCAGATCACCTGGTCGGGAAAAAACACGGGTCACGAACATAAATTGCTTGGTCACCCGTGAAACAAGTAGTTGATTTTCATCCTGTGTTCAACCCTTGTCCTTCAACATTTCAAAAATGAGTCAAGTTCATCCTCTTCCACTTCATTAAGTACAAAGGAAAAAGAAAAGAAACTATTTTGTATTTTTATATTGGACTACATGCTGTTTATCAGTTTAACAGACTAGACATTGAACTAGGTGAAATGAGGAAAACCCCCTCTCTGCAGCTGCAGAGGGAACTCCTACCACAAGTCCACTCTGAACTTCAGCAAATTTCAGTTTTGTGCTCTACCAGTCCAGCAGCTTAACCTTCTGTCAGGAGCAAATACGCAACTCCTGTTTTCTTAGAATTTAATCATGTATTCAAATAACTTAAAAGTTTCAGCTTTAACAGAAGTTTGTCATCGTTGTAAGTGCATTTAAAATGTTTGAATACAAGTATTCATTCAAATTATTTTTAAGTGCTGACCAGCCTAGTTTCCATGGTTCCTTTGAAAATCCGGAGCTGTTGAGGGGATGTCCAGCTTCCCTGGAGGGTTCTCAGAAACCTGTTCTCTTGTTTGCTAGTCCTTTCGTATGATGTGTTTCTAGATTCCAACGTGTCTTCTCGCCTGGCTACGCTATGCTGACTCTACCATTTAACTATTAAATACACACATGTAATGGTGAGATGTTACAGAACTGCACTCGCTAGTTTCTTATATTTCAGGTTTTGCTGCTGTGTTTTTTTCCTCAGCTATTCAAACGAGCTACAGAAGTGGATTCAAGTACAAAGTTCCCCAATGATTTCAGTTTTTCTGTTTTTTTTTTTTCCTGTATTTGCAAAGACAAGATACTGCTTCTGTCACGTGAGTCCCTTCGCTGATAGCCTTGCTAACTACGGAGGAAAAAATTCTCACATTAGACATTATGTCTTACCGTATTTGTAGCATTGACACTGAATTAATGTCCCAGCACACTCCATACTTTTTGAACAGACCTTTGGCAGGCTTGAGAACACATGCAAATGCAGACATTTGGGGTTTTTTTTAGGTTTAGTAAAATATTCAGGGTTGGTTATTTATCAAACCCTGCAATAAGACTGCTATAACCACACCTTTTTGGTCTGAAGATTATTTTTCCCATATGGAAGTCAAGGATATTAGCATCCATTTAACAGAAGAAAACTTGCAATAAAGACAAAGACACCACGCCTTTTTGGTCTGAATATTATTCTTTCCTTATGTAGTCAAGTATATTAACATCTTTAACATACAGCTCCAGACCAAAGCCCAGACACGAAAGGAAGGCCAAAGTTTTGTTTTTAAACTGGCTAGACTTATGCAATAAGTATTGCATTGGCTGGACCCCATTTCCTCTGCCCAATATAGTTTCATACAAAAACTTAGACATTTCACTACAGAGCCAGCTGTATCATTCCTGCGTGGTGCCAGAAGAGAAACAGATTCCAAGAAAACGGCCTCTTCAGACTGCTCAACTCTGGGAGTTTAAAGCCACATGATAGAAAAGCAACTGCTATGGTACTGTTTTCTCACATTTTTGAGACGGTCACGATCAGAGATCTGATACGTTAAACCTTCTCACAAAACTCAAGTCATGTGGAAAAAGTTACTTCTACGAAAGTTATTAAACTGTAAAAACCGTGAGACCCGATTTAGGCTCTCAAAGAGGTAAAGGAGAAGCATAAAAAAATGCTAATCAGGAGGGGAAATCTGAATATTTTGTGACTTTGTTTTAGAAAGACCTGAACAACGCCATGAGCATGAATGTTAATTCCATTTCAAGGACTCCGATTAATACTCCAGGAATGCTTTTTAAGAAAGTACTAGTTTTCAATTTAAAAACAATTCTAGTCGTCTCGTTTTCCTCTCTCCTACTAAGGGCTTTTGCCTTAAACCAGGATATTTTGTTCTTTAGGGATCAGTCTGGTTTTTGCTGCTTATTGCCCACCTGAAGTCATAAAACACCAATAAGGCTTCAGGTGAGGAATGTGCATCAGGACCGTTAAGTCAACAAAGATCAAGTGCCTGTTTCTCATAAATGAATCCTCCTTAATGAAAAGCAAGACAGGAAAACAGACCATGAGTAACACTGCTTCCAGTCAGAAGCCATCCAGAGGATGTTTTAACCCAAACTGCATTAGTCTTTTCTTAGGATTGTGCAGAACGCACGCTAGTCCTTCCCTTTCAACCCACCCCACCTCTGCAGGCATGAAAAGGACACTTGGCTGAGTTACCCACTTCCCAAGACTCAGGCCAAGTACATTTTACAGACTTTTGGCCAAACAGCTGCACAAACTATGGCGTGAAGAGATGCTATTTGTGACCAGCGCATGAGTACTTGGTGGTCACGGGGAACAAACCCCTCTGTGTGACACTCCAACACACAAGAGACAGGACACCAAGAACAGTATAGTTCTTGCTTGCCTACGGGCTGCTGCCAAAATACGGCGCTCTGGTCAACGTACGCCAGTGTAATTAGACTGGTGAAGCCTCTAAGCAGAGACCTGGTCCCTGGCCATGCAGTAAGGGTATGTCTGCTGGGTACCCGAACTGCACAGTTACCTGCTCTCCTTCGTTATCTTTTCCCTCCTGTATTTACTTCTCTTCCAGCGTTAGGTGTATTAATCCAAGACTAATGCCTAGCTTGGATCTCCGGAAAAGGGCTGGAGTTCAGGGCTACCCAGCATCTGTAGCTGGAAATGAAGCTACTTGGGCTTGATCGGAGAAGTGGCAGTGGACCAAGTTGATGAGGGACATGAGGGAGGAATGCAGATAGGCAATGAAGTCCTTCAAAAACGTTTTCTTTGGTTTTTGCAGTCTGTGTCATGACATACAATACGCTCTAACTGTAATTGAGAGTTGAACTGAATAGGTGTATAGCCAAATAAAAGCAGATTTAAAAAACATGCAAAGAACAGGAATAACCTGAAACTCAATCAAAATGCTTTTAATTTTTGATGTTAGAGCACAGTATTTTCGAATTTGAAAGAATATAATTTCTAGGGCTTTGTAATATTCAAATGTATGAATTTAATGTAGCTGTAGTCACCAGATGAAAGTTTCTAAAACGAAGCAAAAGAAAAATCTACAAAAGCTTATGGTTTTGTTTAATCTACTCCCACACTGGACTGGTGTTTGTGCAGCCTCAAAATTGCACATGGCTGCCCTTGGATGCACAGCCAGCAAAGTGCCTGTCTAAATGCATGCTTTCACAAGAAGCTCCATCTGCTTTTAGATGGGATTTCCTTCATCAAATGTAGTCCTGTCCTTTTCCCCACCTCCAGACATGTTCTCACGCCCTTCCTCATGCCGACACAGGCATTCATACAGCTTGTGCAGTCAGCTGGAGCGGCTCATCCAAAACTCTTTGTTTTCTTTTTGGTAAGGCAAGTTTTTCAGCCAGATCAGTTTGCGGGCTGAGGATGGGATCACCGCTTCCAGGGGCAGCAGGGGGCAAATCAGCTTAGGCAGCTCATGAAAATGAGCTTTAAGATGGGACAAGATCTATAAACGGAACACCAGGCGCTATGCACCTACTTCAGCTGACTAATTGCCTTGCAATCCTCGGTGCATGAAGAGGGACAGACTTCATGAAGCAGCAATTCAGAACAGAAAGCCAGTGTAGGTCCTCGGAACCACTCTCCAGAGTGGTCCATCTTTCTCTACCAGCTCTAGAGGCTGGATATGAACCACTTCCATAGGAAGGGATGCATGTTATAGGCTAAAGAGAAGCGAGCACAAGGCAATAAGGCCATCCCCTTGCTCTAGGTAGTTTCTCTATACCAAATAAAATACAGATTCTTGTATTTAAGAAAAAAAAAAAAAGGCTTATTTCTACACCATGTTTTACATCTTGCCTATTGCATTTCCAGCGTAGCTAGCAGGACTGCTGAAACACGTCAGAAAGTAAGATGTTTATAAAGAAACCAGTGTCCAGGATATCGTGCCTTCTCTTAATCCCTGTGTCCAAAAAGCACCCTCCAGCTAAAGATCAGAAGCCTCGGTGGCTCAGCAAGCGTCTAGCCAGGTAGAGAGGAATGTGTTGATTTTCTTTCTCCTCCAGGCAGAGGGGCCTTCACCTCTGTATTCCTGCTTTTGTTTGCATGCTTTTGGAATATGCACCCACCAGCTGTTTTACTCACCAGGGTGAAGTCCCAGTGTGGTCCTGGAGTCAGAAACATGAAAGAGCTGCCTCGTCTCAGAGCGTACCTGTGAGCAGAAAAAAGGAATAAGGTAAATAATTTATAGGTTGCTGTAGCAATTAATAAACTACATCTCTTTTCCACAGCTTTGACGGTATCGTACATGTTCAGCTCCTAGCACAAAAGTTGCAAAGACAATGATGTAGCACAGTCTTCGGGAAAGAGACCAAAAGGATCGCCAGTATTCCCCACCCCGATTGCAAGTGTTAGAGTAAAAATCCCAGTTTACTACAATAAATGGCTCTGTGCAACAGAGGCAGACCAAAACCTCCCACTGGGCCCTGCAGGCTGGGGTCTGGAGGAAAATCTCTCTTTGACCACAAACCTGCCAATCTGACCAAAAGGAAGGATAAAACAATAATAACAATAATAATAATAATAATATTGTGGCCTTATTTTCCAAGGTTAATGAAGCTGAAATGAAAGGAGGCAACAAACTGCACCTTTGACAATGCAGCCTTGTAGTTTCCCATAAAATTACAACCAGGAATTGAGTTGTGGTCTTTCATTAAGTCATTCTCGATCCAAGAAAGTTAAACCACCAGAAAGCACGACACACAATAGACCGTTTGTATAATCCTTGCTCTTTGAACAATGCTAAACGAATTGCCTTATGCAAGTCATTTATTGTACTAGCACCGAGTTAAGCAAACAAGTTACGTTCCAGCTTTCACTGTCTGGTGGACTTAAGGTATGTTTCCAGCAACAATTTTTTAAAGCTTATTCTGGCCGTAGTATGGAGAAACATTTTTGTCTGTCATTGGGTTTCTGCATGTAGAATTGTACTCCCAAATGGGCCACACGCTTTTTTTTTTCAAAGGCAGCCAGCTGTATCTATCACCTATTGGGGAGAAGATTTCCCCCTTGCTGTCAAACTCGGACAGAAAAGGCATCTCCTCACCAGCTGCACCTTTCTTCTTCGTACTAAGATCCCACAGGATTATAAAAAACCTGGAAATAATATAGGAATGCAAATCCTTCTGACTTTCAGGGGACTCGCACTCCAGCATTGCTCAGGCATTGCTGAAAATCCACCTCACAGAGTATTAGCAGGATTTAACGTCAGCAGCTCTCTGTATCAAAAAAAAAGCATTTGTCTGTAAAAGGTTTGTGCAGGGTGGGGTGTTCTGGATTGGTATTTGGAAAATGGAAGTCAACCACCCAGAAAATACTTTTGCACTTCTACCAGCCAATGCAGGGCAACAAGATAAATGTTTTATGAAGCGTACCTTACTGGAAGCAAGATGTGAAGGAATACAAGATGCTTTCGGTGACGAGACAAACATTTTATGCAGCAGATGTAGACTACACAGGTGAGCTTATTAGTGCTTTTCCTCCAGAAATATATTTCTATGCTGACCCTTTGCTTAGCATACATCTGTTAATACAAGCGACACCGTATTTTACTTCAAACTCAAATCTAGAAGAAATCTAACCAACTGCTGAATGCCTGAGCTGGTTCTGTGCTCCTCACTCTAGGAAGGACCAGTGTCCGGGCAGCTGATTTTCTTTCTTGGGATGACCCAAGGAGATGACCCAAAACTGTTATCCGGTACCGAAAAGACAAGACCGTTATGCGCAAGAAGGGCATATTCTCTTATTCCCCGCTTGTGGTGGAGGAATGCGTCTGCCACACGTAAAAAGCTGAAGCAGCCTTAGCAGAAAGGGATATACTCTGATCCAGACAGGCAGCGAGAGCTGTTTGGCCGCCTCAGTAGGTCATACAGAATAGGAGCAACACTTCCCTGCAGCTTCTGGGGTGGCTGAAATCCCCTCGGGACCCGTTTAGGGAGCATTTTACCTGCTCCCAGGGTTTGAGCAAGGCAGCTGCCATGTGAGCAGTGAAAAAGCTAAGCCAGCAGCATCTGCGGTGGAAAACCAGGGAGCAGGAACATTTTCATGGGCTTCAAAGCGGTTAGAATAGTAAATATGCTATCTATGTTATATAGACACATGTACTTAGATATCTAAAGATATAGATATCTAAAATAAATACCTAAAATCTATAGAATATATAAATATAAAAAACAAGTTTGTTCAAAGTACCATACACGCGAATTATGACTTACGTAAAACCAGAGGAAACTTTTCCTCGGGCCACGTGACCTTCAGGTACCTTAGGATCAGCCAAAACCCTTTAATACAATCACTGTGTCTGTGACACTGGTCCAGAAAGGAAAGTGGCATTTCCAAGAGCTGCATACCAGTACACTGATTGCTAGAGGGAGAAGAAACTTCTGGAAGGGAACATTCTTTGGGATTTATAAGAGTACATACCGCTCAGGAAGAAAATCTGGGAATGAGCACCGGATTTCTTTGAAATTTAAAATAGAGACATTTTTTCTCATGAGAAAGAAAAATCCTCACTATTTAATCCCAACATCTAACCTGCTACACTGCCCAGACCAAAATTTACGAGTTTGATTAAACCTTCCTTGACTACAGATAGAAAAGCAAAGAGATAATTAATGGTCTGCAAACTGTGCCCTACACAGCTATAAAAAGCTACCAGAATGGTATAATTTTATTTGCATGAACTTGCTCTCCAGAGGCAACCAAATTGTGGCCTGGAAGCCATATGAGGCTTGCAAACTCTTCAGAGTAACTCCCAGTCATCCCAGTATGGATGTGGGCTGCTCGTAGCTGCCCCAGCTGCATTCCCTGGGGTCCTGGGTGCACCTGGCGTTGTGCCCTCCGGCCCGCGGGGAGCAACGGGACTGCAGGTACAAGCATGGGGTTGGCCCATTTGTACTAGTGCACCCAGCTTCCAGCCAAATGGAGATTTTATGGGGTATAATCAAGTAAGTTCGGCTACAGCAGCCTTTCAAAAAGCTGAAATTTAAAGGTATTGTACAACTATCATCATGTTCTCTTACACTCAGAGGTTTAAAGCAACCACCGTAGATTTCCATTTACTGCCCAACGTGTTTCATTCCTATTATACAAGCATTATAATAAGGTTTTAATCCAAAGCAGTGTTTTATTTTGGCACGTACGCTATACGGCAATGTACCCCGTGGGACTGCCTACGCAGTATTTCAGATACCCCTCTGCTCAAGCTGGGGTGGGACTCGTACAGCTAAATGCACGAGATGCCTCCCACTCTGGCCTCCCCGCTGTCCTTGAAAAAGGCTTTTCTTGGTGTCTCCGGGGAACCTGCCTGATGGTGTCTTTCAAAAGACAACCCACAGAGATGATCACACAGATATTAACCTCTCTACTGCTACTGCTCAATATCAAGACTACATAGCCACTCTTCTTTCACGAAAAGGAGAAATGATCACGTGTGAGAGGCATTAACTTGGAAATCTCAGCATTTTAAAATGAGTTGTAGGGGTGGGGAGTACAATAGGATTAAGGTTCAAAAATCTACAGGCAGCTTTTTCTCCAGTTGTCCACAAAAGTTGGAGAGAAATTTCTCCATCTCAGACTCCATCATCTACACTTTCTCCCTTGGTCACTCAGCTGTGGGGAGAAATGCAGCTAATACCTCCCACAAAAGGCATATAATATAGAAATATCTGCCCCAGTTAAAAAGTTCCCTTCCGTCCTCCAAACACCCAACACAGACCTCCTGCAACAACAGAGCCTGTTACAGACCAGCTGCTCCCTCCTACTTTTCAATGGTCTGTAAGAGGACTCAATCAAGAGAAGAGGGCAAAGTAGAAGTCAGAAGCTGCTCCTTCTCACATGCCACCAACACCAGCAGTGTTCTGGGAGTAGGAATTCTCTTATTTGTTCTAGATCTTGGTATCACAGACATTTCCTGACCATCTTTTGTTAATGGGAATGAGCTTTCTGTGGTATAAGGAGATCCTCCTTATGGATCCTCCTTCTTTTTTCAAGCCTTTGGCCAAATGCGAGGAGCTGAGATCTGCCAGGAACTGTCAGGAGTGGCAAATGGACAGACATAGAGGGAAGCAAGCAAACCCTTGTGCTAAGTGGAAAAAAGTCCTTTAGGAAAGAAGCCTCCGTCATCTCAAAGCTTCATCACGCTTCCCGGTGTCCCCTCTCCAGTCACTGCTTGCTAACTGAGCCTTGATGAGGTACCATTTAATCACTGGGACGATTGCCTGCAGAATTGCTTGATTTTTTTTTTTTGCTCTGCCTGTAGCTCTGCTAGAGCCTGCAAAGCTCTCCAAAACTACAGAGCCAAATTTAGTCACCTGCATGACTACCATGCTTATTACGTGCAAACGGGTGACTCATGATGGCAGTGCTCAGACAGGCATCCCTTGCAAGGTCTGTCAAGAATCTGAAGACAGCGCTGGTGAATTAAAGGTCAGCGACGACCGTAAGAGCAATCCTGGAAGTTTTACCTCACGCATCTCACAACACAACATGAGAAAAAGCAGAGCTGCGTGATGGAGCACTGCGCTGTTGGTCATTGCTCAAAACACTGCATGATTAATAGAAGCAAGTGCAGAGTGGCCTGGATATAATGGTTTAGTACCTGAAGATAGCAGAATAAAGTATTGCGCTGGTGCCAGCAGTTGGATATAGTTAATTGCTGTGTTTACCACAGAGCTATTCCAAGAGCCCAGCCCTATCGTAGGACATCCATAGATATCCCTGCTGCGTCACCCAAACGAAAAGACTGAAGTTGTGTTCAGTCACTTCCTTGGAAAAGATTCTTCTTGATAGACTGTCTCCAGCATAATTTCCTTGTTTAAGACAGGATGAGCAGATACAGACTCTTTCCTTATCTTACCAGGCTCAAGAGAAGCAGAAAGCGTTAATCATAGCCGGCTGATTCATGTAACTTTGAAACCTATTTCAAAGTGATTAAGAACTTCAGAGTTATGAAGACAATTACATGAACACACAAAAATAATTTTCGAGATGTAAAATGTTGCGGCAACACGCTGGCAAAGCAAGTCTCTCCAAACTAAGTGCAGGGGAAGGGCAATCTTGTTGAGACTGTACAGAAAGAACAAACACTTCTGTTTTGGTACCCTCTGTTTGCTTCAAGAAATGAATGTTCCAGGCTGCTTACCAGCAAATGATGATACTGCCGGTCTTGCCAAGAGTAAATCCTTCCAGAGCCTGTTAAAACAGAGATTGCCATGCTGATGGTCCATAGAGGGATTAGCTATGAAATACTTTCTAACCTTAAAAGAGCGCGTGTCATTTGTATTTTCAAGTTGGCCTGCAAACAGGTTTAGAAAACCAGCTACCAACATTGAGAGAGGCAAGGGAAGTCCTGAACACAAAACCTGTTCGGCAACATAGCAGGGGGGTAGATGGGGCCCCAATAATCTTAACAGAGGAAGTTTGGGCAATTTAGTAGATAACATATTGATAAAGGCAAGTGGGCAGGCTCAATCCTTTCACATTGAAGCCAGACTAAGGAAACAGTCATTGTTCACCGCCTTCCTTGAATAAACATCAGGATCCTCTCACCAGCACAGGACGGTATGGATGAAGCAACGGCAGTGAGCACTTGGCCAAATTTGTCCTCACCATTTAATTTCAAGGTTGATGATTCCCTTCAGAGCTGGACACATTCTGAAGTTCAGAAGGCAGGAGTAAACAGCAGTGAAAAAACACACCTAATCTTAAATTAATTTATCAAAACCACACCTAATATTAAATCAGTTTATCAAAAAGCAAATGTTTCTGTCAAGTACTGTGTTGCTTCTTAAGCATCTTTTTATAGCTTGTCCAGAGACAGGGTTTTTTTGTGTTGACTTTTGCTATTTTTTTCAGGGCGGGGGGAAGCCATAAAAAAGATTTTGGGGTCAACAAAAAATCCAAAAGACATCCACAAAGGGCGTGCTAGAATAGATTCCCATTAGCCAGACGAGAGGCTAAAGCACAGAAGAGCTTCACTCATCGGGTTAGAGCAACTTCCCACTAATGCTATTTGAAACATTTTTCTCCCTTTTTACTGTAAATCTGCACCGCCTAGTCAGCATCATTCGACAGTCTGCACTCTTTTTTTTTACTTATTTTTGATGACTTATCCAGGAAACTGCAGAAATGCTTTGATCTGGCAGTTCTCTCAACTTTTTAAAGTTCCAAAATACATTCTTCAGACTGGGCAGCAATTCTGTGTTTCCTTCCCCTCTGACTTCCAACCCCCTTTTTTTTTTTTTTTTGTTTTCGGTGCAATCTGTTCTTAAATATGAACCACTCGCACCAGTTAAGTACTAAGATGGTGAATATCACAGCAACATGAACAGGTTAAAAGTAAGTCTTTCCCCAAACGAGCACGCCACACTGATTAATCCTGTTTTGAAGGACAAGAACAGAAACGCTCCACAAAGAGTCTTTTGAATTTTAATGTAAAGCTTTTCTGCAGGGGGAAAAAGAGAGCCTCTGGATTTCCAGCCTACTATAGTTAATATTTCCACTTCAACAACATCCAGAGGCCTTGGCCAGTGTAAGAGGCCTCCCAAGCACTGTGCAAACAAACTCTGACTAAGGGCACTTACGGCAGTGCTTGTCACGGTTCCTTATCTTGAAAAGCTCCAGGGTAAAAGCCTTACTTGAAGAAAAACCTATTGACAGACATTTTAAATATCTAAAAGCAAGACAGAAGAACTCAGTACTTCAAGGGCTGAGAGGAAAATGGTGCCGGTGAACTCT